ATGGCAACAGCAAGAATTGAAGCAAGCAAGCTTTACTGGAGTACATACTATTATTAGGAAGCATCAAATCGCACATGCTAATTTGCCAGTCATATTAAACGTAATATTTCTTATCTCATATAGATTTCTTAAGGTCTTATTTACATTTTACTGGAAGCAAACTAAGATGCATATCCAATGTTTGGGTCATATCACTCATATGTCAGTTTTGCAGCTTGCCATGCAGCTTCAACAACATTTGGCTGCAAGGAAAACGTAAACAAGGAAAGAGCACATACTCTTCATCTGTATTTAAAATATCAATGAATAAATATCCCAACCATTGGCACTTTATAATATAAGTGACATTCAACAATAGATTAATAACATATACAGTATATGCAAAACAGCAAAAACATTTCTTTGAATCACTGTATAAAATATTCCTCATAAACTCGCTCCAATCGTCGCACACTGCAGAGTCTTTGGAAGGGTAAAACCAAGTTTAACATCCCCAGTCCAAAGTACTTTCCGTGCCCTCTTAGGCAAGCCTGTCCAGCTGGAGAACATCTCTCGTAATACTATATTTTGGCTGTTAATTTTGTTTAGCGAACGAATGATATTACCAAACGGTCCAAACCCAGTTGGAAGAACAGCAACTACATAGTTCCCATGTAATAAAATCTGAAGAATTTGATTTCGAGTACGTCGGTAGCAAAAAGAAGGAAAAATTTCAAAGACTAAACGCATTTTTAAGCCGCTCTAAGCACTTAAATTTTGTGGACACTCTTACGTTGGCGGCCATCTTGGATTTTCTGAATATTATCATTATAATTTATTACACCCACTATATCTGGGTGTTGAAACTCATGTGACCGGCCTGTGCCAGGGCCTTTTCCCGCCTTCACAATGGCAAAAAGGGAAAAGCCCTGGGAACGAGGTTGGGTTGCTGGCGGTGGGACAAGGTTCCTAGCGGTGACGAGAAGGTTCCTGGCGTTGAGGACAAGGGTCCTGGTGGTGAGGACAAGGTTCCTGGCGGTTAGGACAAGGTTCCTGCCGGTGAGGACAAGGTCACTGGCGTTGAGGAAAAGGTTACTGGAGGTGAGAACAAGGTTCCTGGGGCTAAGGACATGGTTTCTGGCGCCGAGGACAAGGTTCCTGGCGCTGAGGACAAGGTTCCTGGCAGTGAGGACAAGGTTACTGGCGGTGAGGACAAGGTTCCTGGTGGTGAAGACAAGGGTCCTGGTGGTGAGGACACGGTTGCAGGCGGTGAGGACAAGGTTACTGGCGGTGAGGACAAGGTTACTGGCGGTGAGGACAAGGTTCCTGGTGGTGAGGACAAGGTTCCTGCCGCTAAGGACATGGTTCCTGGCGCCGAGGACAAGGTTCCTGGCGCTGAGGACAAGGTTCCTGGTAGTGAGGACGAGGTTCCTCGCAGTGAGGACAAGTTTACTGGCGGTGAGGACAAGGTTCCTGGTGGTGAAGACAAGGGACCTGGTGGTGAGGACACGGTTGCTGGCGGTGAGGACAAGGTTACTGGCGGTGAGGACAAGGTTACTGGCGGTGAGAACAAGGTTCCTGGTGCCGAGGACGAAGTTCCTGGGGCGGTGAGGATAAGGTTCCTGGCGCTGAGGACAAGGTTCCTGGCGGTGAGGACAAGCTTCCTGGCAGTCAGGACAAGGTTACTGGCGGTGAGGACAAGGTTCCTGGCGGAGAGGACAAGATTCCTGGCGCTGAGGACAAGGTTCCTGGCGGTGAGGACAAGGTTCCTGGCAGTCAGGACAAGGTTCCAGGCGGAGAGGACAAGATTCTTGGCGGTGAGGACAACGTTCCTGGCGGTGAGGACAAGGTTGCCGGCGGTGAGAACAAGGTTACTGGCGGTAAAGACAAAGTTGCTGGCGGTGAGGACAAGGTTCGTGGCGGTGAGGAAAAGGTTGCTGGCGGTTAGGACAAGGTTCCTAGTGCCGAGGACAAGGTTCCTGGCGCTGAGGACAAGGTTCCTGGTAGTGAGGACGAGGTTCCTGGCAGTGAGGACAAGGTTACTGGCGGTGAGGACAAGGTTCCTGGTGGTGAGGACAAGGGTCCCGGTGGTGAGGACAAGGTTGCTGGCGGTGAGGACAAGGTTACTGGCGGTGAGGACAAGGTTTCTGGTGCCGAAGACGAAGTTCCTGGCGGTGAGGATAAGGTTCCTGGGGGTGAGAACAAGGTTCCTGGCGGTGACGACAAGGTTCCTGGCAGTAAAGACAAGGTTCGTGGCGGTGAGAACAAGGTTCCTGGAGGTGAGGACAAGGTTGCTGGCGGTGAGGACAAGGTTCCTGCCGGTGAGAACGAGGTTCCTGGCGGAGAGGACAAGATTCCTGGCGGTGAGGACAAGGTTCCTGGCGGTGAGGAAAAAGTTACTGGCGGTGAGGAAAAGGTTACTGGAGGTGAGGACAAGGTTGCTGGCGGTGAGGACAAGG